ACCATGCAGAAGAAAGAATCTCAGAGGTAGAGTATAAAACTCTTGAGCTAACTCAGACAGTTAAAGAGACAGAAAAAAAGAAAGAAAGCACAACATTCACTGACAGAATTATGGTACTTTATGAAGCATTTAAACATATGAGTTATAGGTATCCCAGAAGGGGAAGAAGAATGCCCCAGAAGAATGGAAACCCTACTAGAGGGTATTATAAATGAAAATTTCCCAAATATCACCAACAATTCTGACACACTCTTTTCAGAGGGGTATCAGACCCCAGGCCACCTTGACTCAAATGGAGCTTCTCCAAGGCACATCATGATGAACCTGTCCAAAGTCAGGACAAAAAAAAAGACTCTGCAGGCTGCCAGGAGTTAACGCCAATTGACCGACAGGGGCAAATCCATCAGGGTGACTACAGACTTCTCCAATGAAACTTTTCAAGCAAGAAAACAATGGTCATCTACCTTCCTTTAATCTACTTAAGCAAAACAATTTTTAGCCCAAAATTCTATATCCTGCTAAGCGGAGCTTTAAAATTGATGGAGAAATCAAATCATTTACTGATATGGAAACATTGAGGAAGTTTTCCACAAGACCAACTCTTCTGGAAATACTTCAACCTATTCTACACACTGATCATCACAATGGACCACCAGCAAAGTAAACACCCAAAAACTAAAGGACAAAACCTATCTTCTACAAAGATGCAAAAGATAGAATTAAGAGACGGACTTTCACAAAATAAGGTGACTAGAACTCCACCAGACTTATCAATTATCTCAATAAATGTCAATGGCTTCAATTCCCCACTGAAGAGGCATAGGCTAGCTGATTGGATAAAAAAGCACAAGACGCCGAGTTCCAGGTGAGCACCTACCCTGGGGGTCTCGGCACACCCTCCCCTAAAGATCCACCCCCTTCTCTGACCCAGTCATGGCTCCAATGGCCCTGGGCCTCCCCCTCTGTGGGCTCCTCTGCTTTGCTCACAGCACGAGTCTCCGGATCATGCCCGGTGTTGGCGGGCCATGCAGGAGCATTATTAAAAAATAATAATAATAATAATAAGCCATCTGTTCCCATCTGCAGGAAACACACCTAGCTTCAAAGGACAAAGTAAAACTCAGGGTTAAGGGATAGACGACAATTTTTCAGGCAAACAGAAATCAGAAAAGAGGGGTTACAATCTTATTTTCAGATACAAGTGGATTTAAAGCAACTAAAGGCAAAAAAGATAAGATAGACATTTCATATTGTCAAGGGAACAATATAACAAGAAGATATTTCAATTCTAAATATTTATGCACCCAACTTAAATGCTCCCAGATTCTTTTTTTTTTCCTTTTTTTTTCCCCCCAGTTTTCGGCCGGGGCTGGCTTTGAACATGCCACCTCAGCATGTGGGGCCAGTGGCCTACTTCTTTAAGCCACAGGCGCTGCCCTTAAATGCTCCCAGATTCTTGAAACAGACTTTTAATTAATCTGAGCAATATGATATCCTATAACACCATAAAAGCAGGGGACTTTAACATTCCTCTTACAGAGATGGACAGATCCTCTAAACCAGTGGTTCTCAACCTTCCTAATGTTACTTTAATGTTGCTCAGGGGTTAACTGAGCAGTGACACAGAGGAAAGCACTGCAGATGAAATGAATAGCATAAAAGGGAGACTGAGGCTCGCTCTGGCACTCAGTAACTACCTATCTTTATTGATACTATTATATACTCTAAAACATCTGATAAAAGTTTAAAATAACAAACAGTTAAGAAAGCAAGGTAAGATCAGGGAAACTGCCATAAAAGTTCCAATTCAGCTCAATTATTGCTGGGCATGTATACAATTGATACAACTTGAGAACATTTTGCTTGGGGCTAAACCACAAGGGCGCCAGGCTAATGTTCCATTAGCCCATTTCCTTAAACTAAAACTAGCAACTATTGTGTTAATGAGGAGAAGGGAACAAAGTACAGTGGCCCAGGGCCTCCACAGGTGTTCAGCCCCCGGCTACAACCTAGCCTGGCCCTCCAGCGCATTCCTTTCTGTGAACGTTTCTGCTTTTCCACAGGCCGGGCACGTCCTCAGAGTAAGGGAATTCCATCTTAGGGCCACATTCCTGGAGGAGCATATGAGGCTAAACTACCATGTCTGAGCATGGGAGACTGTACCCCTTCACTTAAGCATTGAAAATAATTTTATGGTTGGAGTCACCACAATATGAGGAACTGTATTAAAGGGTCACAACGTTAGGAAGGTTGAGAACCACTGCTCTAAACAGAAACTAAACAATGGTGTAAGGGACTTAAATGTGACCCTAGAACATCTGTCCTTGATAGATGTATATAGAACACTCCATCCCAAAGCCACATATTCTTCCCATCCCAAACACTCCATCCCAAAGCCATATCATCTTCTCATCACCCAATGGAACATACTCCAAAATAGATCATATCCTAGGACACAAAATAAACCTCAACAAAATCAAAAGAATTAAAATTTTACCTTGTATCTTCTCAGACCAGAAAGCAATAAAGGTAGAACTCAACTCCAACAAAAATTATCATCCCCACACAAAGGCATGGAAATTAAACAACCTTATGCTGAATAACAGTTGTGTCAAGAAAGAGATAAAAAAAGAAATCATTAACTTCCTTAAGCATAACAACAATGAAGACACAAGCTACCAAAACCTGTAGGATACTGCAAAAGCAGTCCTAAGAGGGAAATTGATCACATCAGATGCCTATATCCTAAAAAACAGAAAGAGGACACATGAGTAACCTCATGAATCATCTTAAAGAAATGGAAGAAGAAGAGTAATCCAATCCCAAACCTAGCAGAAGGAAAAAAAATAACCAAAATTAAATCAGAAATAAATAAATTGAAATTAAAAGAATCATTCAGAAAATTAATGAAACAAAAAGCTGGTTCTTTGAAAAGATAAATTAAATCAATAAACCGTTGGCCAGATTAACCAGAAATAGATGATCAATAAGAAGTGTAAAGGGGGAAATGATAACTGATACCACAGAGATATAAGACATTATTTCTGACTACTACCAAAAACTTTATGCCCAGAAATTTGACAATGTGGAAAATGGACCAATACTTGGAATCATACCATCTTCCTAGACTTCCTAGACCAGGAAGAAATAGATCTCTTGAGCAGACCAATCTCAAGCACTAAGATTGCAGAAACAATAAAAAAGCTTCCAACAAAAAAAATCCCAGGACCAGATGACTTCACGTCAGAATTCTATCACACCTTCAAAGATGAACTTGTACCTGTACTGCAGAACCTATTCCAAAACATTGACAAGGAAGAAACCTTCCCCCAGTGCATTCTATGAAGCAAACATCACCTTGATTCCAAAATCAGGAAAAGACCTAACTAAAAAGAAGAACTACAGACCAATTTCACTAATGAATATCAATGCAAAAATACTCAAAAAAATCTTAGCTAATAGATTGCAGCTACTCTTTAAAAAAATTACACATCATGGGCAGTGCCTGTAGTTCAGTGGGTAGGGTGCTGGCCACATACAACCAGGCTGGTGGGTTCAAACGAGCCTGAGCCAGCTAAAACAACAATGACAACTGCAACCAAAATAAATAGCCAGGCATTGTGGCAGGCACCTGCAGTTCCAGCTACTTGGGAGGCTGAGGCAAGAGAATCACTTAAGCCCAAGAGTGTGAGGCTGCAGTGAGCTATGACACCATGGCATTCTACCCAGGGTGATAGCTTGAGACTCTGACTCAAAAAAAAAAAAAAAAAAAAAAATTACACATCATGATCAAGTAGGCATTCAAGGGATACAAGGACAGTTTAACATATGCAAATCCACATATCAATAAAAGCAAAAACAAAGACCATCTGATCTTCTCAGTAAATGCAGAAAAAGAATTTGACAAAATTCAGCATCCTTTTCTAACAAGAACACTTTAGAAAATAGGCATAGGTGGCATATTTCTTAAGCTGATTGAAGCCATGTCTGACAAACCCACAGTTGACATTATACTGAATGGTATGAAACTAAAAGCTCTTCCCCTCAGAACTGGAACCAGACAAGGATGTCCGCTATCACCACTATTATTCAACACAGTTCTGGAAGTTCTAGCCAAAGCAATAAGGTGAGAGAACTTTTCAAAGAGAATTATGAAACCCTAAGAAAAGAAGTTGGAGAAGACACTAACAAATGGAAGAACATACCATGCTGTTGGCTGGGAAGAATTAATACTGTCAAAATGTCTATTCTACCCAAAGCAATCTACAGATTTAATGCAACCCCCATTAAAATACCAACATCATATTTTGAAGAATTGGAAAAATTGGTACTTTGTTTTGTAAGGAACCAGAAAAAAACCTGTATAGCTAAGGCTATTCTTAGTAATAAAAACAAAGTCAGCAGCATCACCCTGCCAGTCTTCAGGCTATATTACAAGTCCACAGTAATCAAAACAGCATGGTATTGGCACAAAAATAGAGACACAGAAATATGGAACAGAATAAAAAACCTAGAGATAAAACCAGTCTCTACTTGCCTTCTGATCTTTGATAAACCAAACGAAAGCATATAGAGGGGAAAAGAATCCTTATTCAACAAATGGTGCTGGAAGAATTGGATAACTACATGTTAAAGACTGAAACACAACCCACACCTTTCACCCCTTACAAAAATTGACTCAAAATGTATTAGAGACTTAAATCTAAGACATGAAACAATAAAAATCTTAGAAGAAAGTATGGGGAAAACTCTTGATGATGTGGGACTAGGGAAAGATTTTATGACAAAGACTTCAGCAGCCATCATAACAACAATGCAAATTGACAAATAGGTCTTAAATAAGCCAAAAGTATTCTGCACAGCTAAGAACACAACAAATAAAACAAAAAGACAACCTTCACAATGGGAAAAGATAATTGTAGGGTATCAATCTGACAAAGGGTTGATATCTACAATCTACAGAGAAATCAAATTAATCAACAGAAAAAGAGCCAACAATCATGCTCACTTCAGCAGCACATACACTAAAAATGGAACCATACTGAGAAGATTAGCATGGCCCCTGTGTAAGAATGATACACAAATTCATGATGCGTTCCACAATTTAAAAAAAAAAAAAGAGCCAACAATCCCTTATATCTCTGGTAAGAGATATGAACAGAACCTTCTCTGACAAAGCAATGAATGGCTAACAAACATATGCAAAAATGCACGTTGTCCTTGATCTTCAGAGAAATGCAAATCAAAACCACCCTGAGATATCACCTAACCCCAGTGAGAATGGCCCATATCACAAAGTCTCAAAGTTCAGATGCTGACATGGATGTGGAGAGAAGGGAACACTTCTACACTGCTGATGGGACTGCAAGCAAATACAACCTTTTTGGAAGAAGTATGGAAAATCCTCAAAGAACTCAAATTAGAACTCCCATTTGATCCTGCAATCCCATTACTGGGCATTACGCAGTAGAAGAAAAATATCCTTTTATCATAAGGACAGTTACAGTAGACTGTTTGTTGCAACTAAATTTACGATCACCAAAATGTGGAAACAACCTAAATGCCCACCAACCCAGGAATGGATTAACAAGCTGTGATACATGTATACCATGGAAAGTATTTAGCCATTCAAAAGATGCAGACTTTACATCTTTTGTGTTAACCTGGATGGAGGTGGAACACATTCTTCTTAGTAAAGCATCACAATAATGGAGAAGCAAGAATCCAATATACTCAATTCTAATATGAAGGCAGTAGATGATCTAATATGGGGTGGGGGAGGAGAGAGGTGGGTAGGGGGTCATGGTGTATGGCACACCTCTTGGGGGCAGGACACAATTACAAGAGGGACTTTACCTAACAACCACAATCAGTATTACCTAATTCTTTGTACCCTCAATGAATCCCAAACAATAAAAAAATGCTCAGTCCATTTTTATATATGGATGAAAGAAGGAATGGATAGATGAATGAATGGGAGATGGAAGAAGGAAGGAAGGGAGGGAAGGAGAGAGGAGGAAGGAAAGGGCTGGGGTGGGAATGATGAATTCTATTGCTTCCAACATCCTGATTTCTTAAGAAGGATGGAAAAGGAGGGGGGAGGGAGGGAAGGAGGGAGGCTAGGTGGAGAGAGGGTAATCAGTGGGACCTCAACTATGGTGCATATTGCAAGGGTACATGTCAAATCTATTAAACGTACAGTATATATGTCTTTTTTTCTTCTTTTTTTGCCATTTTGGGCCAGGGCTGGGTTTGAACCCACCACGTCCAGGATAGGGGACCGGTGCCCTACCCTTTGAGCCACAGGCATCGCCCTGGAGTACAGTATATATGTCTTAACACAATAATTAAGTAAGTGAGGTGAAGGCTATGTTAACCAGTTTGATGTAAGCATTCCAAATTGTATATAAAATCAGCACATTTTACCCCATAAATGCATTAATGTAGACAGTTATGATTTAATTAAAAAAATTGTTAAGAGACAAAAATAAATAAATAAATGAGTGATTAAATCCAAAAAAATTAAAAAAGAGAAAGAAAGAAATGCAAGGTAATTCAGGCAGAGTTGGCTTAATTCCCTCTTGTCCAATTTCCGTACAACCTCTTCACCACCATTCGTGCCATTTTCCTCATCTTACAAATACCGAAGGACTCTAGCCTTCACAGAAACTACCTTGGCTCCTTGCCAGAAAACAAACAAGCCTAAGAATAAAGGAAAATAAATAAATAACAACAGCAACGTCTCACACTTTGAGGTCTGGGAAATGAATTCCAAATGGGAGCTGAACTCAAAACCAAATGTTTGCCTTTCAGTGACAACCAGCTACTTGGCTGAAAGCCTCAGCCCCCTCCAGAGACCACTTAGCAAATGTTGGCCCAGAGTTCTTCCTGAGAGCCACTGTCTGCCTACACCTTTCTTAGGCATGGAAGAAATTAATGCCAAGAAAAAACAATCACACTTTCTACCTACTACCTCAAGGTTATTATTTGTGGTGGATCTTTTTCTACTTTGGAAAGTTTCCAAATAGTTCCTAAGGAATTAGGTTGTGTTTGAAAAGAGTTTACTCAAAACAGGTTGACACATACTCACACGTGCACACACACACACACATGTGCGAAAATTCAGACTTTAATCCTGGCACCTCCTTGCCATTTGATTCCATGGGAATTTATGTCTGACAGCATGTAGCTAGTTATGCGCTCTGAGCCAGAGGACAAAGTGAGCCTCCAGAAAGTGGATGAAATTCAGATGAGGGAGCCGGTGAGATGGCTCCAAGGAGTCCTGGGAGGAGCCACTGAGGAAAATGCAGAAAGCAAAAGAAAACCCACTCCATGCACCTGACTTAGCTAAACTAAATCCCTGGGAAGGTTTTAACAATACTGCTACAAGATCTGGGATTGCTTATCTGCTCCTCTCTCCTCTTTAAGAACTTCTTGGACCCTTCCCCCAAGAGCTAGATTTTAAAGGCTTAGTTCTCATTTCCAGAGCTAACCTTTGCCTTTATTCTTACACCTGTGTCCTCAGCGGGGAGGCATCTGTAACAACAAAGGCAGACCCACCTTTCTGGTGCCCTTGTTAAGGTCTTAGCACAGACTGATGGAATCATCAAGCACAAATTATATGCAACCAGGCAAATGTAGAGAGTTACAGAGCTTAGACAAGGGGCAGCATTACCAACCACATGGACACAGGTTTGGGAGTGGTGCTGGCCCAAGCTCAACTACGCACAAATGACTTCACCTCTCTGAGCTTGAGTTCCTCATCTGTAAACTAGGGATGTGGCTTGTCTTCCAGGATGAATTATGAAGATTAGCGCTAATGCTATGACATGTACAATACACAGGTACTATTATCAAATAGTGTTCAGCCAATGCTTGTTGACTGTTAAAGAAGTAAATGTCTCCATTCTAACACCAATTAAGGAAATACTTCTCATCCCTACCCCCTGAGCCCCCAAGATACAGATCCTAGTGCTGTGTTCAGAGTATACAAGGACAGGCGGTAAGAGCAGTCAGCCCTAAGTGCAGGCAATAAAGGGGTGCACTTGCTTTGGAAAATGTAAAAACAATAAAAGTCACTCTGATTTTATTATCACTATCCACTGACAAATTCAAACAAGGTCAGCAATAAAATATTCTTCCCCCTCCTCCCTGCCCCCTTGCTTTGCCACAGCCTATGTTACTAAAAGCTTATGCCCCGTGTCCTGGCTGAGTCCCTGCCTAGCCTAGCCTTAGCGTCCATCAGGAGGGGCCAGAAGCCAAGCCCTTGGATTCTTCCAGCACTGAGAGATATTCTTGGATCATTTTCTGTACCTACATATACAGAGAAATCCTTAAGCTTTTTGGCCCAAACTGTCTTGAGAAGAACATAATGTGAGAAAAAGAGATAAAGGTACTTTAAGCCAGTAAGTATCTAAACAGGCTCATACCAAAATAATGGGTCCAACTTATCAGACAGAGCCTTCTCACTTCCTCTTTCAATGCCTCTATTCTGGCCTTCCTCAATGGGTCTATTTTGCTAAATGTTGAAGTTTGACCTCTGGGAGGCCTTAGGCCTCTACTTAATTTTTATGTATGATAAGAAAAAAAGAAAAAACATGACAAATCCAGAGAAACTATTTAGTTAAACCTTATAAATGAGGAAACTGATGCTCAGAGATGGGAAGGGATCAGCCCAAGGTCACACAGCAAGTGAGAGGTAAAGAGGGGTAATGAGACCCAGGGTGGTAGCTCATGCCTGTAATCCTAACACTCTGAGAGGTCAGGGAAGGTGGATTGCTTGAGCTTAGCAGTTCAAGACCAGCCTCAGCAAAGCAAGACTTCATCTCTACTAAAAACATAGAAAAATTAGCAAGGCATTGTAGCAGGTACCTATAGTCCATGCAACTTGGGAGGCTGAGGCAAGAGGATCACTTGAGCCTAGGAGTTTGAGTTTGCTGTGAGTTATGAAGCCAAGGCACTCCATCCAGGGTGACAGAGTATGACTGTCTTAAAAAAAAAAAGAAGAAGAAGGGAAATGAGACTTAACCAAGGATTGACAAGGGGTAAGACAGTGCACATAAAATGCTGAGCTCTGTGGTGGCACACAATAAGAAATTGAAAAGCATTAACTTCCATTTACCAGCACTTGTTTATTGTTATTATTAAAACAAGACAAGGTCTACATCTCTAGGCTTTGGGGTAGGCTCTTCCTAGCAGCTAGCTCAGGGTCAAGCACAATGCAGGTACTCATCAGATGCCTGTGGAATAAGTGGGTTAACTCTATCCCTACTCCGTGATCATCCAATCTCTGCATGAACATCTCTAGTCTGAGACGCCCCTCCCACCTGCAAGGACATGCCATCCCATCTCTGGGCCCATCTACTAAACAGTTCTAATTTTATACTAGGTCAATTTTTTAAATCTATCTCCTCATCCCTTGTGCCCATTGGTTAGTCCTTGATTTAATCTCCTTTACATTGATCCTTTTACAAAGCAATTTTGATGTTAAATCAGAATATGTTGGCCCTTGGATAGAAACCACTCAATTAACTGATTGGGTAATAAAAAACAATAATAATAATAATAATCTTTCATCAGTCATTCACCTCAAGAAAGAAAAGGTCAGTTTTATCTTAATAACAAAGAGGACACCTTAATCATGGCAAATCTGCTGAATAAATCCAAACAATATGTTTGTGAGAGCCAAAGGCCCTCTATTAGGTAAATTAGATGAGCACCTCGGAAGGCGCCCATTGCCCTGACAGAGCAGAGGAAGCCCTGTGTCCTTCAATCTTCCCTCTGGAAAGACAGCATTGATTACACACTGACATGTATTTGTGTCTGAGCAGCAGGAATGAATGAACAACAAACAAAAGGGACGCCCTCAGACATCACCTTTCCACCTGCCAGCACATGTAACAATTAACACCACCTTCCAGTTTTATACAACTCTTTTTGTATTCTTAAGGAAAATGCTCATCCATTTATTTGGCCCTCATAGAAACCCTGTGTTAGAAGTTAAAGGTGCTCGATTTTATAGATGACGAGGTAAGACGGGCAGTGGGTAGCCATGGGTGGGGCAAACCACTTGTTCATTCCCTTGGAAAATTGTGATCGCACACCCAC